GCATGCATATTACTCGTCAGGGTACCTTTGCATCGCGCGAGAACATCGCGATCGGGTACTGGAGATGCGTCTACTTCAAGGAGGACTGCTCCATCATTTACCTGAGGCCTTGGTGCTATCCGCCCAACTTCCTCAACTCCGTGAGTGATAACCCGAGGAAGTGTCGGGACGAGATGGAGAAGTATCATCAGATCACCAAGGCGGAACATATCCGCGAGGTGGTGTCCGTTCCATGCCATAGGTGCATGACGGCCCACCCGGTCGGCGCTCACCTGTGCACCGCCTGCTACCTTCCCATCTTCTATGAGGGCGTCCTGCCCACCGGAGACACGAACGGCGGCCCTCGCACGATAGCGAGCACCGACGGGGTGATTCCTCCCTGGCTGGCAAAATACGAGGGCTTCGTCCCCGCTCTGTGGAACAACGCAGACGCCAACGCCATCGGAATGGCCCTCTACTCGCAGAGTCCCGCCGTCGATGCCCGGTCCTTGTTGATGTCTGGGATGCGGCCTCCTAAGTACCTTGACAAAGAGGACGTGGATGGCATTTTCCGAAAACTTCACGACTCGCTCCGAGACGAAGTCCTTGACGGCAAATACCGTGACACGGTCGACCACAACGTGGAAGAGTGGGTAGCAAAGGCGATCTTGGTAAGGGGTCTTGCCTTCAACGGGAGCTCCGTCCCCGAATTCTTCGAAGAATATGAGGGATATGCGGCTGAGTGGGGCAGACGCCTAACCACCGCAAACTTCAACGCCAACCGGTGCGGCTTTTACACGTCCTACTACATTCTTGAGGCCCATATCATTGGGCTGAGAACAGGACACCTTTCTCCGATACTCCCCAACGATGTGTCGGGGAGGGGTTCAAGTTCCAGGTGGGGCTGCTCGCACAGCACTGCGGGATATGCAGGCCATGCGGAGAAAGGCCGGGTTCGATCCTGCCGCGCGCCTCAAACGGGCTATGGACACGATACGGGAAGGCATTAAGAAGGGGTACGTCTACACCCTCAACGACCTCAGCAGTATGGACGATCTGATCTACCGGACGTCCACCGTTGCCTACGACACCTGCTTGGCCGACCGTCCTCAAACCCAGGATGACATCAAACAGGAGCTGTCCGACCCTGTACCAAGGAAATACCGCTTCCGACCCCGCGATCGCCATCGACCCGGAATTCGCCTTACACCAGGCCCCGGCGTGAAGGACGAAGACGAGCCCGACTTTGCTGGATCAGCGGAGGATGAGCTGGGATCGGATGGTTCTTCGCACGAAGATGACGAGAAGCCTGACGACCTTGACGAGCCCATGGGCGACGACGAGGAGGAGATCCCTCCCCCTCCGCCACCGCCCCCGGCTCCTCCTGCGCCGCCTGTCCCGGTAGAACCGGAGACTCCCGTGGTGTCGCATGCAGGCGTCAGTTCTGGCGATGCTGTGCCAACTCCTCCTCCTCCTCCTCCCGCTCCCATTGCGGCAGGCGTTACAACGACTGGGGATCCGTTTGAGGAAGAGGACATGGCCATCAATACTCGTGTCCCTGACACCGAGTCCGAGCTGGAGGGTGAGTCCGACCAACCCAAGGCCAGGAGGACATCTCGTGGTCGGGTCCCCGCGCCCGAAAAAGGGCAGGGGGGCGTTCAGGTCCCGCCTAGCGGGCAACCCAGCTCTAAGAGCATGGCCCAGCCTGCCCGTCCATCCCCGGTCCCCGCGAGAAGCGGTGTGGAAGGTGGGGAGAGAAGGGGCAGGACCAAGGGTTTCTACACCCAGAAGGATCCTTTTACCGGCGAGGACGCGACTCCCCGAGTTCGTCTTCGATCGGGCGGTCCCGGAACTCCTGCGTCCCCACCACGGGATGCCACCGGTTCCTTGGGCGGCCATGGCGGCTATGACCCGCGCGATGACGACAACGACGAGTGGGAGCTTCCCCCGGGTGTGCCTCGGACCACTCGTGCGGCAAATGAGTCGCGGCCCCGCCGAGATGACGATCGGTCGAGGACCGCGCTTGGGGCCCGCGAGGATCGTCGCGGTCCTAAGGGTGAGGGGAAGGGTCGAGGAAAACATCGACCTGGCAAAGGTGGACGCGAGGATCCTGGCCCGCCCCGACAAAGGGATGATCGTGGCAGGGATACCCGCGGAGGCCGACGCGATGATCGCCGACCTCCTCCACGTCATGAGGAGACCTCCGAGAGGCGCGGTCCGGGGCGAGATGAGCGCCGCGGACGTGATGACCCGGGCGATGACCGTCGCGATCGCCACCGGGACCGGCGCAGGGATGACCGACGTCACCAATCAGATCCCCCTCCGCCTCGCCGACCTCCGGCTGGTGACCACAATAGGGGTGGTGGTGAGGATCGCCGTCGGGATGGAGGAGGTGATCGAGGTGACCGTGGTGGACGCCGGAGAGACGACGTGCCCAGGGACCGGGAAGAACCTGGTTCAGGGTGGTAGGCGGGTACCGCAATCAGCATCCGCCTTAGAAGGGCGAGGATAGTACGTGTGTCGCCGAAAAACGCGACCGCGCCGGTCCTCCTCTCGCCCATGCGGCGCTGCTGGGGGTGATGGTCTCCATTGCCCTGTACCGCTGATCCGGCGTTGCTCGTGTCCCTCCCGCACCGCTGCCGTGCGCGCCGGAGACGGTTCCCCTGGCGATCCTGTGTGAGGCTGTGACCGCACTAGAAGTGCCGGGCCGGCCGTAGCCGGATATTTTCACACCAATTTCGGAACTTCCGTTTCTAATTTCCTCCCAACTCGACTACTCTTCCAACCACTCCACGGCGTGCAGTGAGGCGCGGTGATCCAGATAGGGTCCCCCTCCGCATGGTGTCGTCCTATGACAACGCATGAACGGCACGAGAGGAATCTTCGTCTGGTTCCTCCAATATGTCTTTGTTCACTCATGTGGTCCACTCGTCAAATAATCCTGTCGCCCCGATAATTCGGGGTGGTGGCGGGATTTTAACTGGGTGATGCCGTTTGGCTCACCTCTGAGTTGACACCGGCATTTTTGGTTGGTCCCTTTCGTCGTGAACTCAATTTTCTCGCATCCTTTCTCTCGTCCAGATATCGGATGAGGGGGGTGTGTTTTGTTCACGTGTTGTTTCATCATGTGGCAAAACGGCCGAATGGCCGTTTGGCTCAAGTTTTGCCCTCCCGTCAGGGGGGTCACGGATTCTTTTTGCGCCAGCCATAGTGCGGCTGACTGCTTCGCCGTCGGGAAAAGGCTCCTGACGTCGCCGTGGTTAGGCACTGGGAGGTGGGCGGAGGATCTCTGCGTGATCGTCCTGGGCTTGGACACAAACTTCCCTTCTTCAACCTATTTCCCAACCTCCCCAAACTTGATCTTCATTAACTGTCACTCCCACAATCTGGTCACCGGCACCTTTTACATTGTGCATTGGGACTGGGTTCTTTTGGTACTTCGTGAACCACGTGTACCTCTTTGATTCCCTGGGCTACTTCGTGTTCGCCCAAAACCGCAAAAGCAAAACACCCATCTAAAATAGAACAGTATCTGAAAGTATCATTTTATGTAGTATCCAGATGTGGCCCAAGGTTTGCGGTGTGTTGCTTGAGCACTTCGCCGAAGGGCCCTCCCAAACTTTCCGTTTAGGGGACCCCCACCTGGGCGAAGAATCTCCTTGAGACTTGAGGGGTCCATGGGAGTGACCTTCTCCTATGAGACTGGCGAGTCACAGTCCCGGGGTTTAGGGTTTAGGGTATAGGGTTTAGGAACCTTGCAATTGAAATGAGACCTCCAACTTACAATTCGTGGGATTGGGAAAACACAACACTACCCTGACTCCCTCGAGTGGTCTAGGGGCTATAGCAATGGCTACACAAGCTATGAGGGCTACACAGACCTTTATGCGCATCTAGACCCGTCAATGAGTTTCGGCTCGCCGCTCCTCGCTTTCAACAGGGTTTCTTCAAAAAAACGAGTGACATACCCATATACCGACAGTCCGACTTTCCCATCTCCCACAGTTTTTTGGGAAATCTCATGTCCCCTCCTTGTGTGAAACGTTTGTGATTGCAGCTTGAGCCTGCATTGCCAATTTTTGTGAAAATGGGGCGGGGAATGTGCCGAAGGATTGGCTTCCTGTTCTCCTAACCACCGTTTATGTATCTCAGTGCTTCCGGATGCAGAAGCACTCTAGAAACCTCAGGGTTTTCGACACAGCAAAGCAGATCCTGGCAGGAATCCTATAGGTGCTTGGTAAGCAACCCTATAGTGTATGAAACCCTGGTTACCTACTATAGTGGCTTATGCGGTGGCTCAAACATATGCAAGGGCCTTGCGTTTAGTCTGGCGGGTTGCAGATATCCCATACTGTGGATGGGCAGCCCTTGGGATGAATGAAGCTCTATGGGACAAACAAACAATCCCAACGACTGGATTTTGCCCATCAGTCAGTCATGACCCTCGAAATGGGGAAAACAAGGGCTTCTGGCTGATTATTACTGCGGATCTAAGGAGGATCCGCTGGAGGAGGATCTCTCTGAAATCAAAACTGGAGAGGATCCACAGTTCCACAACACTTTTCAAGGTTAAACAAGGGTTGTGGCTACGCACTTGCTGAGTTCACCTGGCCTAAGTCGTCACAATTTGGGTTTGGTTACTTTTCGCGGCAAACACAACAAGCGGCAACCTTGGCTACCATAGCGGGATGCCTTTTGGATCCCAGAGGGTCCAAGTAGCTCATGAGAATGGCTTTTGGGGGGCAACGAGGGGTCCTCCTCAGAACCTACTTGGACATCCTCACAATTTGGGTTTGGTTGCCAGAGAGGCAAACACAAAAAGCGGTTTACTTTTCGTGGCAACGAAGACGGAGGTGTGGTGCATTTACTTGGATGTTAGGACTTTATATCTTTTGGCCAAATGGGTTTTCCGTTAAGCCGTACCAAAAGTTCTTCGCTTTTAGCGCAGATTTCGCCGAGAGCTTTTGGCTCTCGGCTTTTGGGTGCCATCCCCCCGGTCTTCGGACGTGGATCGTTTGCAGGGGTGGGCGCGGTTTTTTCCACCGGCCTCGCGGCGCGGCAGAAACGAGACAAGTCGGGGTCGATTCGCCGGTGGCTCGTTGGTCTTGTTTTCGCTGTAAATTTTATTTTCCCCTGGTTTAGAGGAGAAACACGAAGGAAGACCAAGTAGTTTGAGGTTTCTATTTGGAGGGTCCAAATCCTCAATACATTTTCCCTTTTAGGGGATTTAGACATCACATGGTTGTCCCTATTTCGGTGGGTTTCCCTGCAGGGGAGGTTAGGTTGGAAGTTATTTGGGAGCCCTGGGCCCGACACTCGAAAAGTGTTTGATTCGAGGGCCCCAATCTCAATAACCCGTGTTTGGTGGCTTGGATTTGAATTTGAATCCAAACGTAGGTTTGCCGCACATGAGCTACAATCAAAGCTTGGTTGATTGGGGTGAGTAGGAGGAAGTCGCAACCATAAGCAGTCGCAGATCAGATGGTGGCACTGTGACTCAACTGAGTGAGCGTTCGCATCTTTTGCTTTCACTGAAATGGTGATGGCAGAACATGTTCGTTGGGTTCGTAGAGTTATACCTTCGAACGATTGCAAATCGATGAGACGGGGCCGGGGCGAGCGGTTCGATTCCAACTTGTTGGGGGTTTCCTTTTCGTCAGGTATGGCAAACGGTTGTGAATGGCCCAACCTCCAAACACACGAATCTGAAGTGCCACGAAAGAGCTGACCAAACCTCAAGACTAGATATTTGAAAACTGGTTCCTTTTGTTTCTAATTCTGTTTATCTCTTGAGATTTGAGAGCAACTCTGTTTCCAAGGGCGTTCATGGATGAACAAGTTGACCTATGATGTCGGTTTCGCACGTGTGGTTATTCGTTTCTGGCGTGTGAACCATGTCTGGGGGGGGGGGTTGCGACGTCAATGATGAGGAATTCCACAGGGAGTTGAAATCTCTTTTCCCCTACGAATTAACACGGAACCCAAAAGGGGGGGAGTCCCCCAAAAGGTGTTTCCTCTAGACATGTTGCCTGATTGGGTTCCGAGCAATAAATTGCACAAACGGTGGGTGGACAAAAGCACTTGGATAAACCACCTACCAACTGCAGGATTTCGTTCAGCCCATGGCTCCACAAAGCTTTGATGGCACACATGAACTGGACGGAATTGATTTCGAGTTTTGCCGCACAGTCATGCAGAGAAGCAAGGAATCCAAATATATTTCCGCTTGAGAACATCTTTTCTGGTTATAGTTGCTTTTCAGGTTTCGCCTGTGTTCTCAAAGTCGAGGTGATCCGAAAAAGACACCCACGTGGGGTGGTTGCGGCTCCCCGAGAAGCATAATCTAATATATTCGGGGCTGACAAAGTATTGCAACATATGGCAACAGTCACGCTCTTATACAATGTATTTGCATATGGATTCCTATCATGGTCCATGTGAATCTTACCTGATCAATAGTCACTCTTAGGCTCTGCCGGCGATTGAGCTCCTATTTTCGGTCCTGCACCACGACCCGTTGGGTTCCAGCTAGATGTTCTGGCGAAACTTTGCCTGCATCAGGCACCCTCTGCTGGGTTCCGTGTTGGACAGGTATGGCTTATGGGATATCAGCCACTAAAGCTGCCTACAACCCGACTTTAATCTTATTACCATCCACCGGCAGGCGGCGGCTGTCAGCGTGCTGGACGCTTCCAAGTTCCAACGCGAGGAAAAAGCTTAGAAAAGGCGCGACCGGACTGAAAAAAATCAGCCCGCCTCTGCTGGTGAGCTGGGGGGTAAAACGAGCTCACCATGTAGGTATTTTACTTGAGGATCCCTTAGTTCACTTATTGATTATAGAGTGAGTTTGCTTGGTGCTGGGCAGATTCACGTTTTTCCCTGTTAAAGTGAGCATTTCTTTGGTTTGCAAGAGCCGCGCAATTCACTTCAGGCCCAAGCAACGTGCGGCAAGTCCTCGCGCTTCCTCTCACGTGGGAAATGCTGAAATTGAGCGCAATGGCCATTTTATCTGCTGCCCTTGGATTGGTTTGGATTGGATTGGATTGGATTGGTTTGGATTTAGATTTGAACCCCTGGCTGTGGAGAGTAGATGGGAAACCCCTTGAGCACCAAAGCACCGATTCGGCTCCAAACCACCAGAGGGAAGCTGGTTTTAGGTGGTTCTGTCTGGTTTGACGGAGCGTGGAGCCTGTTGGAAACCTGTCTTGCCTTGTTGATACCTGGGCTTTGAGCGCTCACGTAGAATGGCGTTCATCGCCGCGCCACCTTGAAATTGATGAAGTCATGAAGACAGTTCCACTTTGGTATCACAGAAGGGGCCTACCGGTGGACTTCCTGGGCGTTTCACCCTTGGTTTAAGAAACTGTATCCGGAATGGCCACCAATTCCAGCGGGCGCCTGTTGACTGAACAAAGCACATTGTGAGTCAGTTCGACAGAAAGCTTAACACTCATTTTGAATAACAGTCAATAATATCATCAGCCAACAACACACATAAAACCAAAAAACCTGACAACATAAAACTTGCAACAATCAATAAACATTTGAACAATACAAGTTATATCAGCCTGTTCACATGTTAGCCATACTTTTCCCACTATTACAGCAACCGCGTTCCGACTCCGCGGCGCTTCTGTGGGACTTTGCGAGTGCTTGCTCTCCAGGTCAACAGGCTGAAGGAATTTGAGGAAGAGAAGAGCTTATCTTACGTGAGGTTGGCAGGGATAGTCAACCCCCCAAAAAATAGCTAACATAGGATAAGCCAGAATCGGTTTTTTGGCAGGTCACCCCAAAAACAAACACCCCACCACCAGGGATTCGCCCCTCCACCAGCGCGCGGGAATTTCTGTGCCGAGGACTACCTTCATCGCGCCGGGCGCACTGCGCGGTACGGGGAGTTCGGCAGAGCCGATCTCTCAGCTGACTTGGGTTTTGTGAAAGGTTATCGGTTCCGTTTTGCATTTTTGGGTGTTTTTTTTTAAGGGCAACGGTCCCTTTGGCGCAACTTCCATGGATTCCTATCATGCCGCGTTGCACTTTCACTCAAAGAGCGCTTGGCAGCAAGCCACGGCGGCGAGACACCCAAAGAGCTCCCATTTTGATGCCAGAGTCCGTATGTCGACTTGTCACAAGTCAATGTCTAAACCTGGGAAACCAGTCCTGACTCAAAAGCACCTTCAATTTCTTGCATGGTTCAGCAAACTGGGTTAGGGCCATTTTCTGAGGGTTCGAGTCCCCTTCAACAGAAGACATCAAGTCGCGGCAAGGCTCGCCGTTCATTTCCAGTCGCTTACGGCACGGAGGCGTCCCCTTTTTTTGTTCTTCGGAAGATCGCCCGGAAGCCGAGCTAAGGTCACCTCCTTCGTGAAGAAGGGCGACAAAGCCTTATCCAAGGCTGTGAGGGGAAAACGAGCCAAAGCCGAGTCGGGGAACACGGCGTGGCGCCCCCAACTTCCAACCAAAAAGTCACACAACGCATTCCACCCCGCGGCTTGGTATGGACCCAAAACCTGGATCCAACAGTCTGAGAGTATTTTGTTCGGCGTGCAGAGCTGGGCTGCAAAGGGAATCAAACAGAAACCGCAGGGCAGCAACCAAAAAATGACTGTTGAAACTCAGGGAACCAAAAGGCAATTCTTGTTCGCATGAAGAGGCACCGTGGAGCGTTTTGGGTACCAACCAACCTCTCGTAAATCAAAAGGCAAGATGGCAAAATGACTGGATGGAGATCAAAGTTCAGGTTTGGGGTTCGCAAAACAGCAAAACAGCGGGTTTTCAGGGTGTGTTTGCTGTGGTAAATCCACACCAAGCTACTGCCCCCAAGACCTATGCTTTGGACGGAGGCAAATGGTGCACCTGGTATTTGCGAATCCGGTGTTCGCTCTGTGGATTCAGAATGATTGATGAATGCAACCAATCAACAATCTATCGACATTGTCAGGGTCCCCCCCCCCGCTTGTTGGGCAACCAGACGGTGATGTTGGCCAATTCCCTGTAACACATTTGTTGAACCCCCAACCTGCTTTTTGGACACTCCCAAAACATTCCAAAACCAGGAGGAAGGTAGAGTCAAACAGGTGGGGCCGAAAAGGACAAGCTGATCTTTTCTCAGCGTTTACGCGCAGGCCATAGAGCGCAGCGTTTACCTGGGCAAGCCCATCAACGAGTTGTTGGCTCCTCAGACGGTTTCTGCGTGGACCCTCGCCGGCCCGTTCGGCCGAAGTGGCAAGCGAGACGTCCAGCTGAATTTCCCTTTCGGTGGTGAACCCGGAACTCTTAAACGCCTTCAAGGTGCTTGCAGAAAGATCTACGCCAGCGGTTCGCGGTTCTGTCAAGATGCAGGACCTATTATTTAAATGGCACTGTTATTCTTTGAACAGCGTGATGTTCCCTTCAGGCACTGCGCAATGGTTTGTTTCCTTTAGGTCCCCTGATACCAACCAGGCTCCGAATCCCAACATGAGCTCCAGCTTACCTTTTGATGGGGTGGGAACCTTCGGGTTAAGGTCGCCTTGGATCCAACGTCCGGGTCTCCTCGGCAGGCGAAACTTTCGCAACTTGGAGGGAAGAACTCCGTGAGCTTCAAACATGCCAAGATGATGTTGCCTTGGATCCAGCAAAGGGCTCGTGTCCGGTGTCGTTCTCGGGCTAAGACTATGTGATTGTTGGTTACTTGGATGCTCAACCTGCTTGGAAGTCTGGTAGGTGTCATCCACAGTTATGAGTCAACTACTTCCATTGCTCCACCTATATGTTGGATATATCTACTTGCTAAGTAGGTTGAACATAGAAGTACCACCATGCCAACTTACACGGAACCTACCAGAAGGCGCCTTTTGGAGAACAGGAATGCTCCATGCTAAGTCGGTCATCCCAGCAGAACCTTCCCCAGTGGAAGCCGAACTCCGCACGCCCCGCAGCTGATTGGCCCAAAGTTGGCCAAAGGGTCCATGTCGCGCACCCTGTCGTTTTACGGACTTTATTTTCCCGAACAAAACCGCCACGTTGCACCTCCTTCTGGGGGGGGGGGGTTGGGGGGCAAACTTTTTTGGATCCGCCATAAAAGAATGTGGCGGAGTGAATTGAGAGTTGCAGAAGAGGGTGTCCGTCACAACGTGGGGCGCCTCAACACAGCCGTGCCTAGAGCAAAAAATGGGTGTGTCTTGAAATGGGAAACCCAGCAAATGAGATCGGTGTCCTTTGGGTTCCGTTTAAAACCGCTCCAAGGCAGGCGTTCCGAGCCGTTTCCCTTTTTCGAACCTCCCAAAGTGGCAGTTTTAGTGGACCCCGCCAGTAGATTGCAGCTTTTGAAGGGGATTTCCAGTCACCCTGCAAAAGGACAATCCTCAAAACGAGTCGAGCCACCCAATTCATGTGATTCGTGGCTTCAGGTTTGCATGCTAAGCGCTGACCAATTGAAGCTCAACTTCGAGTGTCCGGTTTGCCTTTCGGTATCCTGAAACCAACCCAAAACCGATCCTCCAAAAACAGCAATCCTGAAATAGCCCAGTTGTTTGATATAATTCCGCAACTGGGGGGGACACGAATATACTTTCCAGTTCGCCTGTGGCAAAATGATTTTTCCCCTACTTCGCAGGAGGCACTAGGCGGGAGGACAAGGCTGCATCACCCCAGTCTCATGTAGCAATGGGCGCGCGTGCACGAGGCGAATTGGTTAACACCTGCTGGCCGTGTTTCGAGGTATGACCAACGTTTATCTCTGTATAGTTTGGAATCCGAAGGGTCTGGTGGTCTAGGGGAAAACAAGACGAGGTATCAATCATTCTGTGGTATGATGTTGGCGCCCATGTGACATGTCTATGTTTGCCATGAGATTCCTGGCTTTTCCAAGCTACACCCAAGGACGTGGTGTATTTGGAGTAGGACTTACGTGGGGGTTCCAGGGGTTGTAGATTTGATTCCGGGTTGGGCAGCTTCGTTGAGCGGTTGTGTGATTGCAAAAACTCATATGCAAAGGAGAGGGGCCCCGATGTTTCGGCTTGATGGAAATTGGCGTCACATGTCTTTTGGGGCCATTTAACTCGAGTTTCTGTTGGGGCGATGTGTGCAGAGGAGTTATTCAGGGGCCTGTAGGGGACTTGCTGGGTTCCTACGAAGACCGGACAACTCATTTCTTCATGCCCATTGCAAGAACCGCATATGGTGAGCCTGCCTTTTTTGGCTTGGTGCATGCGGTCAGGTTCCAAGTTAGTGGACAGGAGGGTACCCTTTCTGGGATTGGCTTTAACGGGAATAGGAATCCCCTATCTTAAGACACTCCCATATGGAAATGGCCCTGTAGCAATCATTGGCTTCTTGTGATTCGCATTGGAAGGGTCGTTCCCACATCCAAGAACACGCAAGTTAGAAGGAGTGTTGCCCAATTAGAGCTCCCACAAAGACTTCCAATTGCCCTTTGTGTACCATTTTTCTTGGCCCTTAGTTGTTTTGCCAGCTTAAGCTAGCTGAAGTTTCTCTTTGCTTACGCAAGGTAAGGGGCTGAAATGCCAACATATTGATTTGATCTTGGTATTCTGAGCCTTGCTGTTCCGTTTCTTTGTGAACATACATACATATGTTTGTATATGATATATATATATACATGCACGGCCTTATGTATGGCCCAGTTATTCCTTGACTGCTGATCGTTTCCTTTGTGTCGAAATGCGTTGAGTTTGACCCAGAAACACATTTCCAGGGTATCCGATCCGCGCATCCGAAACCACTTTCGTGGTCTTCCTCAGTCTTCTCAGGAAAGCACTTCGCAGGAATCCGTGCGCAAGCAACATGCGGAACCCAGGAGTGCTTTAAGACGGCTTGAGACACCTCTCGTTATTTGCATTTTTCACGGTTTGCCGGCCAACATGTCAGTTCGCGTGAATCATCCTGAGAATCTTTGCGGCGCCTCTCATGATGTGCAGGCTACCAGTGGAATCTACTCTGTTTCCGACCCGTCTCACACAATAGCTGCTAGCCTTCGTTCACCCCTCCTCAAGTGCTTGGGTGTCCATCTGGCCCCCTAAACGTCAAACCGTTTGAGCACAGCCGTTTTGAGCCACGTTTTCCAGAATCCATTGACACCTCAGGAGTCACGAAGCGCCTGGCCAAGCAGGCAGATCATGTCTCGCCCCCCTTCCAAGTTGGCAAACGTTGACTGACCAGGAACGTGGATTGCCATCGACCATGCTGAAGAGGCAACAGCTCTTGAAGTGGCGACCAGCAAAGACCTTGTTAGGAAAAAAGAAGAAGCCCAGGTCGGAGAAGGTCAAGTCCTCGTGGAAGTCCTTTTCCGGCACTTTCTTCACCACGGGTCGCTTCGCTATGGGCCTGCCAAGATCTGGAACTGGCTGCAGCAGGACGGAGCGCCTGCGAGAACTAGCGGTTTCCTTGGTGGATGAGAAATAGTTGCGCACGCGTCCGGGGGAGCCGGTGACGAGGCTTCCATCGAGCAACCTGCAAAATTAACTGCAAAATGTGTGGTGACAGCTTCTTCCCCAACGACCAAGGATGGAAAGCGAGAG